GAGCCAATAAAACATCAGTACAATGTAATTTGGAACATGCACAAGATTAAAGTTAGTATAGTTTAGTCCCTGATGAGTTTTTTCCTTCCCTTTTTGCACAGCTTCTGCCTAATGTTATCAGTTGCTTCAAAATTTTCTTTTGCCCTTTCCAAGTATTTCAGATGCAATTATGGAAACAAGGCAGCAGGATTACTATATATGACAAATTTATTGCAGTAAATAATATAAGTTTAAGAAGCAGTCAGGCATACAGTCTTCACAGACTTATATTACTTTGTACCATTCTATGTAGTACTTATCAAAGTTCATTACAACCCAGACATTCAAAGTTTTCTGGCTTGGTCTGAATTAGAAACAATGCCTTGGAGTTCTCCACGTGAATTATTACAGGGTAGCAAGCTTCAAATTCAGTATTGGATTACTCATTTTTATGCAGAGAGTTAGCCACTAAAATAAGGCAGGTAGTCTTTCCCCTTAAAAAAAAAAAACCAACAAAACCACCAACAGAGAAATGAGACAAATTGTGACAGATGTCAGTCAAGTGCCTAAAAGTACTGCTGAAAAGATGGTCCCCCAGGAAAATGCCATGCCTGAACTGAACAGCTGTCCATACCCTTTTCCCACTACGAAAGTTACACGCTAATTCAGAACTGCCCTTTTGTATTTTATTTTCTTGATACTGTCACTTTGAGTGCTGTAATCAGAGAGAATTGATGCTCTTAGTTATACTATGTAGATTTGTATTTGCTAATTTCTATTACATAATTACAAATGTGGGGGTGTTTTTTTTCCCTTTATCAGGGTCTGCAAGGCTCAGAGATGAACATAGAGTATATGTAGCTGCGTGTGGCTATACTAGAAGCTATGTGTTGGGATCTGAAAATCATGCTGTTCTTGTAGCTACAAGTTATTTGTTTTCATTTCAATTACTTTAACAGCTATGGACTACATCTACATAAAAGACATCTGACTTTGAAGTTGATTTATTTGGACTAAATACTAAAGGGGCTAGAAAGCATTAAGAACCAGTGAAGTATTGGGAAAATGGCATCTATTGTAGAAAAACATCATAAGCTAGAAGCCAGTAAAAAAAAAAAACCAGGACAAAACTTTGGAAGCATCAGCACAACTGCCTGCAGAATTTGCCAAAAACCAAATGAAACTGCTGAGGGAACATTTTCAGCAGTGTATCTTGGTCTTGTAATGCTCAGTCACATCCCATGTGTGGCCCTGTTTGTTGACCCTTATTGTTGGCAAAGAAAATTAAAAAAAAAAAAAGCTTAATACGTGCTGAGAATTACAGACTGAAAAAACTTTACATTGAGGAGTCAGTTTAACAAAGGACAAAATATTTTATAAAAATAGAAAATAACCTCATTTTATAAGTCTGAGAAATAAACACAATGACATCATTGTATCTTAGCATGTATTAAGAACGTTATGAAAAGGATTTTTTCAGAAGAAATTTATTATTATCACACTTTACAGTATTTAAAGACAGTAGTTCAATAGTATATAAGTAATCTTTTACCAATTTTGGCAATGATTTAGCTAACCAACCATAAGCCAAACTGTAATTTTAAGTATTTCATAGAACCACAGCAGCATAGAGGGCAGTTTATATGTTTAAAAGCATAAAAATATTTAATTATCAGAATTGAGCTTAGAATTAATATCATAAAATCATAAAATCACAGAATAGTTTGGGTTGGAAGGGACCTTTAAAGGCCATCTAGTCCAACTTCCCCTGCCATGATCAGTGACATCTTCAACTAGATCAGGTTGCTCAGAGCCCCATCCAAACTGACCTTGAATGTTTACAGAGAGGGGGCATCTACCACCTCTCTGGGCAACCTTTTTCACCACCATTATTTAAAAAAATTCATTCCTCATACCTAGTCTAAATCTACCCTCTTTTAGTCTAAAACCATTACCTCTTGTTCTATTGCAACTGGCCCTACTAAAAAGTTTATCCCCATCTTTCTTCTAAGCCCCCTTTAAGTAATGAAAAGCTGCAATAAGGTCTCCTCTGAACCTTTTCTTCTCCAGGCTGAACAACCCCAACCTGCTCAACCTTTCTTCATAGCAGAGGTGCTCCAGCCCTCTGATCATTTTCGTGGCCCTCATCTAGACCCACTCCAACAGGTCCATCTACCCTGCACTGAGGGCTCCATAGCTGTATGTCCAGTTATTAATATGAAGAAATGCTTTAATGAAAAGTGATTAAACAAAAGACATCTCTAAATAAAGTTGAAGGAGAATTATATTAATGGGACAGTGTGTACCCTGATTTCACTAAATATTGGAATAAGTAAAAAAATAACTAACAAATTTAATCTTTTAAACACCAATTTTTAAACAACATGCAACAAAAATTTAAAGGTCTGCCCATAAATATGTCTACATTAGCCAAACACAAAACAAAACAAATGAAAAAAAAATGAGTGTCCTGGATTCAGCTGGCACAGAGTTAATTTTCTTCCTAGAAGCGGGTAAAGTGCTGTGTTTTGGATTTAGTGTGAGAAAAATTTTGATACACTGATGTTCTAGTTGTTGCTAAGTAGTGCTTATATTAAGTCAAGGACTTTCCAGTTTCACATGGTCTGAGAAGGCTGGACATGCACAAGAAGTGGGGAGTGGGGACAGCCAGGATAGCTGACCCAGACTGGCCAAAGGGATGTTCCACACCATATGACACCATGTCCAGTATATAAATTAGGGGAAAGCTGGCTGGGAGGCTGCTGCTCAGAGACTGTCTGGGCATCAGTTGTTGGGTGGTGAGCAATTGCATTATGTACCTCTTGTCTTGTATCTTCATATTATTACTATTATTATTACTACTGCTATTTTATTTCAATTATTAAACAGTTCTTATCTTAACCCACGAGTTCTTTTCACTTGTAACTCTTCCAATTCTCTCCCCAATCCCACCAGGGGTGGAGATCGAGTGAGTGGCCATGTGGTGCTCAGTTGCTGGCTAGGGTTAAACCACAACAACGGGACTTCTAAAAACATCCTGGAGAGCAACAAATGCAGCTTCTGACAGTCCAAGAGCAGTCCAAGCAAGCTTCCCCTTATGTCCCTCAAATTTCAGACTGAGTTGAATCATTCCTCTAAAAACTTAGTAGTAGAGAGAAAGAATTTTCTGAGTCAGTTTCAAAGACAGAATCCTCTGAGAAAAACTTTGCAAAGGCTTTGCAGTATTTATTTTCATTAGTTTTGAAATAAAGGCACACAAAAAAAAATCTTGCTAGGGAAGGTTAAAATGCACAATACAAATAGTTCAGCTGTGGAAATCCTTACCACAGACTTTTAGGGAAGCTGGAAGAACAGTATATCAGCACAATTCTAAAGGAATCAGATTGCGATTAAATGCATTCCATTGTTTGTTGTTTATTTCTCTTAAAGTATATACTTGGCTTTAATTATTTTTTAAAAATATTTTATATCATAAAATACATATTTCACTATGTCTCTTTTTTAACTAATACATCTTTCTCTTCCCTGATACTTTTAATTTTTGTTGCTCACAGAGATGTGAGTATGGAAATAAGATGGTAAACACACAGTTTACAGATCACATGATCTGCAGAAACAAATGGAGTAATTTTACAATGCTACATTTGTCATAACAAAATACTTACCTCTCCTCGTTCTCCACTCAAACCTTCTAGTCCCTTTAGGAATTAATATGAAAAAATAAAAAAAATAAAAACAAGTTTAACCAAATTACTTGGAATCATAGAAAAATATTTTTGTCTCTTGTTTTCAATAATTAATCACAAATGTCGATTTTTAAAGATTCTGTGATTGCTATTTGTACAAAAAACCAAACAGCATATAAGGATGAAAGATGTATATCATGGTGAATTAACACTTTAGTAATATCTCTAATATCATATACCAAAAGGATAAATTGGGAATATATCACACATATTATAAACCATATGTTTTATTAGTGTAGAGGAAGTGCACCTGGACAAAACCTTATTCATTCCACACAAAAGAAATAAAACTTTGTGTTCTAGAAAAAGGAAACTCCTGATTCTAATACTGTTTCAGTAGACAGAAATCAAGTTCAGAACCTTTGAAATACAAACTCAGTTTGTAAGCCAGAATTTCCATGTTGGCAAATGGTTTCAGTGTCATTACTGCCAAATGGTTCAATGGTGTTATTGATCATTAAGTTCCATGGCAAGATAGCACAGGCTTTCTCACTTTTCTGATACACACTTATGCACAAGGGAATCTGAACTGTATCTTTGAGAAGTTCTGGAAGCTTGAGAAACCTTGGAAGGACCTAGTGCTGTCTGCCAGAAGTATGTGAATAACTGATTTTTTGGTTGCTGACCAAACTAGATAAGCCTGGGAAACCATTTTAGACCAAGCCTGTATTATTTTTTCAGCTTTGTCAAAAAAAAAAAACCCAATGCAAGCAATTGCAATTCAGTTGCATCATTCTACCAGGGAAAAAATAAAAGTTTTCTTTCACTATCCCTTTGTTTTACCTTATGATTAAAATAATAAGTACATGAAAAATTTGTCCACTGTTTGCAAATGGAAAAACTAGAAAGTTTAATTTGTAAAATGTTAGAGTAGGACATTACATTTGGCCAAACCCAATGATTGGCCTCTTCATTAAAACTGTTTCTTTTCAAAAATATCTGTTCAGCTTTACTACCAGAATCCTGTCAACCTACATACCCCTGAGAGTGATAAAACTAGGCTAACATACAATCTAGATCTCCTGCCCATGCTTCACTGGAATCAGCTCCTTCTGACGAGACAGGCAGCTGTATCAATGCTGTAATTCTGAAAAAAAGCAACAGCGACTTCCTTCCAAGTCCAGTTTTAGATATGCACCTCAACAAATACTTCTCTGTTCAGACACGACATAGATGATGTAGTTAATGAGTATTTATAAATACTAACAGTTATTTTCTGTGCTATAACAAGATAGCCAACTATGACACAATCAGAATACATTGGCCGAGTTAAAGAGAAACAACTGGATCTCACTGATTTGCAGCTGAAACAGGAAACATCTGTAATTTATAAGTACAGAATTTGTCTATAATGACTCCCACTATGGTACATGCAAAATCTTAACATCTCAAGTATCTCTCTTACAACCTTTACAAAAAGCCACTTCGTGCTGTTAGCTCTATTTTATATTGCGGGTAATGGTTTCATGACAAATTTCCATAATTAAGGATTTAATAACATAATGCAGAAAAATGTACTTCCAGACTGTTTCTCAAGATACAATATCCCAGAACCACATAAACATCTAGGATGGAAGGGACCTCCATGGGTTCAACTTCCTTTTCAGAACAGATCCAACTACAGCAGGTTGGTCAACGCCTTGTCCAGACAGGTTTTGCCACAATCTCTGTGAGCAGCCCACTCCAGTGTTTGACCACCCTCAAAGCAAAACGCTTTTCCCGATACCAAGTTGGAATTACTTTCGTTCCAACTCATATCCATTTCCTCTCGTTCTCCACCGTGCACAGCCAAGAAAAGTGTGGCCCGTCTTCTCTATATGTGTTGTGTTTGTCATTTTTAAAACAGTAAGAGTGTTTAAGAGGTAATTCATATAACTGTGCAATCATGTTATACATAAATATCTTTCACCTGATGCAAAGAACTACCCATGTTGATGAAAGTAATCTTAAGAAAAAAATCTGAATCATGGCTCTCTTGAACTAGGATCACTATTTTAACAGTACCTGTATGCCTGGATTTCCTTGTCTTCCTTTTTCTCCTTTCAGTCCCTTCAGAAAAGAATCATATTTTCTTAAAATACATATTTATCTGGGAGATGTAATTGAACTATCAAAAATAACACAAAGACGTAAACCCTAAAACATCAACCTAAACCAGACCCAATCAATCAGAAAAGTTACTCTTCATGAGTTCAGAGAAGAAACTGTGCAGGATACAACCCATATCCCTGAGCCTGCACCAGTGCTAGGACATGACAGCTCTGCACCAAATATCAATTTGCCTGCTCAGCCCCAGAAACGCAGCTAGAAACTTATACTGGGCATACTGGGCAGTTTTCCCTGAAGAATAGCTAGGGATCAATGCTGCTATTCTTCAAGCAAACCTTCTGTGGAGCTTAATCTTAAACAAAAAGCTCCTGAATTAACACTTGAAGACTTGTTTAAATAGTCTTGCCAGATAATTTCACTAGAAACAAAGTTGATATACCTGGATACCACTTTCACCTTGGTTTCCTTTGTCCCCCTGTAAAATATAAGAAGAAAAAGACTCCAGTGTAACATGATCCATCACAAAGATATGTAGTCTGTGTTTTAATTTAACACAGTAAATAGAAGCATCTAACAACTTTTACTTATACCCAATGAAAACAAATCACTTCATCCCCATTACACTAACACTGAGAAAAGTAGAGAAAGTTATATTAAGAAGAGAATCTTTCATAGAAAGAACTATCAAAAAGAAAGGTGTATACTCATATACCAAGTTAAAATTAAAACACAAAATAATGAGGTAGCAAATCCAGCATGATTTTATCTGCTAGGTGTATGGGAGTGGAGAGGATGTAGACAGGGAGAAGGGGCAGTATTTCTGATGGGTAAAATTTCATCTGAATGCTAACCACTAAGTATGCTTCACCCACAGAGAAGAGAGTGCAAGTAATTTCTGTAACACCTATTATAAAATCACTGAATGCAGAAGTTATACATGACACACCAAATTAAAAAATAACTTTTTTTCATCAGGATACAACATTAAATTCAAACAAAACTGTCTAAGGACTAAGTTCCATTTCTACACACTCCCTTTGACTTTCATTGAAATGTTTATAGTAAATAGAATCACAGAACGGTTTG